TCTCTCCAACTCACACTTTCTCTCACTCACTCTCATTTACTTGCTCTCGCTCTCATTTACTCTCTTTTTCACTCTCTCTCTCTCTCTCTCTCTCTCTCTCTCTCTCTCTCTCTCTCTCTCTCTGTCCCCCACTGAGCTCCAACATGCAAATCCTATGAGTCAGAGACTGGAAAGAGGGGCTGCTGTGGAGGGAGAGAAAGAGAGAAAGAGTGAGAGTGTGGTGAGTTGTTGAGTTTACGTTCATACACACCCTCTGCCCTACGGAATGTAAACGTTTTGCGGGGGAGAGACTTGCTTCCCTTAGTCATCACAACCAGTTACAACACACACTGCACATGTGTTAAGTCTGTGTGCGTGTTTAAGTGTGTGAGTGAGAATGTGGCTCTCCTCAACTGCAACTCAGCTTAAGTATAGTTATAGTGTTTAATGGAACAGACATAGTTAAATGTATATAGTTAATATGTACACAGTTAACATAGGTAAAAAGTGAGTTGATTTGAACTGAGGTGAATTAAACCGAGCTGAGAAGAGTGGAGCTGAGTTGTTACCAGAACTCAGTTGAGATTAGTTGTGGAGAGCTGAGGTAAGTGGAATTGAACTGGGCTAAACAGTAGAACTGAGCTCAGGAGAGCTGAGTTGTGTTTAGTACTTCAGTCTTTTGTCTATGGCAGAGGTCACTAATAGGCGGGCCGCGGTCCGAGTCCAGACCCAGACGCTGTCCTATGCGGACCTGGACCTATAACCGATAAACTATGGAGAATTCTTTAATTTCGACGGGGTGGTCATATTTTAATCGGCGTAACTTTTTACATCTTCATTTCCTTTTAAATAATCAGTGTAAGTCTTCTCTAAGTAAAGGTGAGTAGAGTTGAGATAAATATATCTGAGGAAAGCTGAGATCCACATTGTCACAGTTTTGTGATATTTTGTGATGGTGACAGTGTCATGATGGATTGTCACACCCCTCGTTAATAATCGTAGACAGATCGATAGAAAACTTTGATAATCCTAAAATAAATTGCAAAGTTACAACAGTAACAGCAGTAACAGTAACAACACTAGGAACTGTATCAATCAGAGTTCAGTGACCTTTCAGAGTTTAGATAAGGTGTGGTGTGGTTATGTGTGTGTGGCACTGAGTCATGCTGTGTGGTTTTAGCAGCATTTTGGAGACTAGTCATGTCCTCTCTGCTTATATGTGTTGATGATGATTGTCCCAACATGCCGAGGGAGTCTCACACACAGCAACTCTCTACACTACTCTGCATTAAAGTGATAGTTTAGCAAAAATCCAGTTTATCTCTAATGTTGCTTTTTTTCTTGATACTGGGTATCGGACAATACTGATGCCAACACTGTGCTGCCAAAAAAACTTAGCTATAAGAAACAAATTAGATGCAGAATTGGCAGGTAACAATGGTGACAAGACACAGCTTAAATAGCTTAAATGGCTTCTTATTCTAACTTCCTGTTCCACATTAAATGCTGCTGCGGCGATATCTGCCTGGTAGTCACAAATCACTCCAAAAACTTGTGGGAGCTCATTACAAACAGTGCTTACATGCTTTATAGACTTCCCCGGACAAAAGAGACATAGGAGTTTGATGTTTGCTGTGGCCAAATGCTGCTGCTGTACAAAGAAGTATTTGAAGAAAAGTCTCTTTGAATAGGTGAAATTTAATGGTATCTCATGATAATTTACCAAGTAGTAATAAATGAATCAGTATTCACCTGGGGATTATTGTAGCCTTCTCTTGATCCTCATAATTATTAGCATCTTATTAAATTGTTGTTTTTTTTTTGCTTTAAAAAGGACTGCCCTTGATATTGGGATCATTTGATTGGTCTGGCAAAATGCTAGCTAGTTATTCACTTTCCAGTCACACAGAATTCATTCATAATGGATAAATGGTTAAAGTCAGGGTCTTTCAAAAGACCTCAAGGCCAGTCCATCTATAAGTGAAGCAGCCAACGTGTCTCGGACTGAGAAACTGAGAAATCATAGTGTACACTAAAACGAAGAAAATACAGCAGTACTTAGTGCTAAGCTTCACAGAAAACGAGCAACTGCTGCTCTGTTGTTTGCTCAGAGGTCTCGTCAAATGAGGCTTTGAAGCCAAACAATTTACGCTGCCACTTGAAGACTAAACATAGCAAGTATTCATCTAAACCTTTCGAATTGAGCCAGAATTCTGTTTGCAACTTTCCACTCTTCACCCCGAATTCCAGCACTTGGTTGCTGCCCAACAAGATCAACTATCTCATTAGGTGAGTCAGAAAAAAACAACTACATTGGTTAAATCTTCTTGTGGGCCGCGGAAACTTTTGTGGTAGTGTGGGCCGGGAGTTGCAAAATTTTGGGATCCCCTTTGCTAAGCTTTAATCCGAGCTATTTGGATGCACTTCACTTAAGACAAACATTTAAGGGTAATGTGTGAAATTATAGTATTAAAGCTAAATAAACTGTAACTAGGGGAATATTTTGCTGTTGGGATCCAAGCAGTGTACTGCCCACTACTTTTAGCAGTACTACATTAGCACTGTAGCGTCAGTTTTAAAACTAAAGAAGCAAAGTTCAGACACTACATATATCTTCTCTGATCAACTATGGGTAAATTGAGTACTTTTTGCTTTTTTGCTGTCCAGTCACTTCAAGTGTGAATAAATATTAAGTTAAGTTCTGATATTCATGTATTACAACACCTGCACCCATCACTACAGCGTGTACAGTGTGTTTCCCGCTAAGCAATGGGTTGTAAAACTAGAGCGGCTATCGCTCTGCCACTGAATTATTCATTCTCAGGCCTCAGGAGGCAGATAACGTGGGTTTGATTGTATGTTATTTCTGTAATTTCACCTATTACTGCATTTACAGAGTTATGCAGTCGTCAGTTTGCTCATACAGGGAATTTCAGAGAAGAAGCAGTCATCTCTACAGTGAAACATTCCACATCAAACTACTTAGAATGACATTAAATTATGTAGAAATGTTGGAAAATGTACCTTCAAGTGTCTACAGTTATTGCTGTTTTACTAGGGGTGGCAGTTTTTGCCCTCAGTGACTGAAAATTAGACACATTTTATATACAAATCAAGGCACTATGCAAAATCTACAAAATAACATAAGAACCTAACCAGAATATATTAACTCATTAATGTCCCTATCTGAAATTTGCATTTGGTTGTCTGAGCTCTGATTAAAAATCTAGTTCAGTCTAATATGAAACTGTTGAACACAACTTAGTATCGCAATACCTACATTTAGAGTAGGTTATTCATTTAACCTGTTAGGAAACTAAGAAGACCTAATGAGAAATGACTTAAGATTATTTATTTTCTATGTGTTTGAAAAGTAACCAAGGATTTCGGGGATAAACATGATAGACTAAACAGAAATGTTACCGGTTCAGCTGCTTTAGCATTGCTGGCTAGCTAAGTTAATGCCATAGCCTACACTGCTAGTTACTGTAGCATGGCTAAAGTTACTCTAAGAGATTTATTCACCATATTTTGCTCCCTGTACTGCCATATATACTGGCATTACAGCAGAAATATAGTTTCCTCAAGCTACATCAAAAAAGGCGAGCTACTTGGTGACAGCGACTGAGAGCAGCACGTGAGATTAGCTTGCTAGCAACACTAAATCAACTGCCTCTGTCGAAACCTTTTATGAAACTGCCCTCTTCTGCTCAAATGTGAAAAAGATTGAAAGTTTAAAATCTGTGCTTTCCACAGAATTTTCCCACTTGTTTTAATGATCTGTACGTCAAAAATAATTCATAAAAAGTGAATGCTTTTATCAGTACTGTGCATTCTTAGGGTTAAAGGTGAGAAAATAAATGCACAAAATGAATTCATAATTTGTCATACACCTTTTTTATATGCATTAGCTTTAGCAATAATTCAGGCCTACATATTCATCAACAAGCTGTTGAACGTCATTATAATCAAAGCTAGCATGCTAATCTACTGTTTATCCGTCATCCAACATCAATCAATCAATAAATAAATCAGCTACACATGGAACTTATTACTGTCTGTTCCGTTCACTTCATATTTAGAGGCATGTGTACGGTCATATATCTGTGCTGGAACGTTTATTCTTTATTCTCTCTCTTTTTTTTTAGTCTTCTGTTGCCTAGATAGCCCTTATTTTGATGAGCGATGGTCAGGATTCTTATGAAGCAGCGCATCCTTGAGAGTGCTCTCTCAAACACTTACACTGCCATTACTATTTTTTGTCTTCAGTTTTTTTCAGTCTTGTTGCCAAGACAGCAGCAATGTTTTATTAAACGTTAGAAATGGACACAAAGCTTAGCGACAAATTTTTCCTCCAGGTTTTGTAGAGTGGAATTTCAGAGATTTAGTTAGAGGCTTGTGGAGCATCAGAACACCATTGAAATCTGTAGAAAGATTTACATTGCATAATTATAAAGTGCAACAAAAGTGTGGCACTATTGCTGCAAAAACACAGTCCAGTGTTGCTTATGTTTGTTAACCCCTTAACCTGCAGGCCCATGTTTAAGTTATTAATCTTAAGGACTGTAAATCAGACACAGTCTATGAATTATTCAATATCTAGTATGAATTACTCAGTTTCTACTATGAATGACTCAGCAACTACTCTGAATTATTTAGTAACTACTCTGATTTGCTCAGTAAGTACTATGAAGTATTCAATGTCCACTATGAATTATTCAATAACTACTATGAAGTATTCACTATCCACTATGAATTATTCAGTAACTGCTGTGAAGTATTCGGTAGTATTCGGTATCCACTATGGATTATTCAATAAATACTATGAAGTATTCGGTATCCACTATGGGTATTTCAGTAACTACTATGAATTATTCTGTAATTACTTTTTTAGTTATAGTTAAAGTAGAATAGTGAACATTTAAGTGACATTAATGTTTAAGTGGTGAAATGAAAGTATCATTAATAAAGATTTTTCAAAAATCCAGTATCTAACTGTTGTCTCTTTCTACGGTTTACAGGCAGCTCTTCTGTCTCTGAAACATACACACTGCGAGTGAGATGGTGAGGTGTGACAGTGGTGTGTGTTGGCGAGCCGAACAGGATTTGTTGATGGCTGAATTTAGGCAAGCACTCTCACTCCCTCTGCTGACCGACAGGAGAATTACTCTGAACATTTAGTTCATGTTATAAATACATTCACTGGCCAGTTTATTCATTGGAAAGTATATAGGTGTATGCATTTCATAAAATAATAAATGTGTGTCCTTTTAAATAATGCAAACATTTTGTTTAAACCAGTGTCATTGCCTTAACATAACATATATCAGTGCACCATACTTAATTTTACTAAAATTCTTATATTCCAAGGATTTTTACAAAATAAAAATTAGCTAAAAAGGAATAGATTGCTACATGTGTTTTTTTTTCTCTTTCTCTATAGGTGTCCTGTGGTATAGTGAAGGATCATGGGTAGCTGTAGTAGCTGTCCACAGAAAGACAACATCCCTGATAATCATCACAGCAAATTCAAGGTCTGTCCACCCATATTACGTTATACTTCATTGATCCATTTGTTTTCATTTGCTGGAGCCGGTGGTTGTGGAAAACATCTACGTTAGCCATTACTATGGACCATGACTAAGGGCACACACTCCTGCCTGTTTTCTGTGAGTGCCTGTTTAACTTTTTGCCAACTAGTTTCTTGTTGGCAAAGTATTTCAACATTTCCAGCCAACATGGCTAAAATAGCTTTTTTTGGTGATAGTTATTTTCACCTGTCCATCATTCTGTATCTGTAACTACTCTGTAGATGTTAGCTGGTGTTATCGTAGCCTAATAGCTGTGAAGGAATTTCACAAAAAATGAAGATCCTTTATTCAGGTTGGACTCCTATATTGTTGCGTTTGGTGTTCTCCAACAATTTTGGACGCATCTTTGAATTTCAGTCTTTGCAACTGTGACAAAGATGAAGCTGAATTGATATGAACGCCAGTATTTCTAAGGTTAATAATCGTCCTTAAGACAATAGCGTAGTTTGTTTTAACCTGTGTTTGCATATTTCTGTTTCTTGTGAAAAGGGCCTATTGGTCATTTTGCTTCTTTCCTTAAGGACGCCAACACGATTTCCCAGTTAGATCTGTAATTGGAACCTACAGCCTGCTAGTTACTGGTTCGTCTCTCTTACCTCTAGGCTGCAGGCTAGAAAGTTGCAACCTCTTATATTTAATGGGTGAAATCTGATGGTGAGTATGTGTCTGTAGGTTATTAATGTGGATGATGATGGAAATGAGCTGGGCTCGGGTGTGATGGAGCTGACAGGGGCGGAGCTTATCCTGCACACGCGGAAACGGGATGCGGTGAAGTGGCCGTACCTCTGCCTCCGTCGCTATGGTTATGACTCCAACCTCTTCTCCTTCGAGAGTGGCCGGCGCTGCCAGACCGGACAGGGTGAGTGACAAGAGGGAAACCACTCATGTTCCTCGCTTTTTCTCCCATATTCACACCTGCGTGTATCTTGTTCTGTCTGATTTAAAGCGATAGATTGGCAAAAGAATTATATTTTCTGATATTGTATGATATACTGTTATCTATAAAAATTTAAAAAGCATGGCACAAACCACATGCAGACTTCACTTTAGTCCATGTTTATAGATAAGTGTGCCAAACAAGACAAGCAGGCCTATTAAAGATTACTTAACAACACAACATGGTTTGGAGTTTTTTATGGTTAATCAAACTATTGTTAACAAGTTAGTCGAATACATTGACAACTTTCAATCTTCTAGTAGGCTGTGCAATGTATGTTCTTTACTAAATTTGTCTTATTTGTGATTATTTAGCACTCAATGCAACAATAATTTACACAAAACACAAGAGGACGCAGTGAGACATTAAGCAGCCAAGACTGAGTATTTACAAAGAAAACTAATAATTAATAATAATAATTTTGCATTGCCGATACATATGCTGATATATTCTGAAATATAATTCCTCCGTGAGTCATAAGTGTCCCATCTAAAAAGCCAGCACTCAACCTTATTTCCAGGGACTGACACACAAAGTGGGCTTTTCCAGGTTGCAGTTTTACCAGCAAGCCGGCTATTTTTATTGAAGAGTGGGACATTCCTAGTCTGTAAACAGACACCAGGTTGAACATTACGAGCTTTTTCATTCATTTTTTAGCCAGTTCTCCTCCTCCTTCATAATGCCTCTGGCTGTATGGAGGCATGCTTAAAGAGAGAAAGGACAAATTTAAGGCACAGCCAGCTTCACTCAGTTCTGTAGATCTCACAGCTGACTGCTGGACTGCGTTGTGCACAGAAAGCTACTCGGTTCTCAGTAAGAATGTTGAGCGGGAAGATACATTTTGTATTTTCTGTTGAATGTTACAGGCCTTGCATGTTTAGTACTGGTCAGCCTTAGCCATAATTGTTTAAGAAATTATTTACATTTTGTAACCCTAGTTTGAAGCAACTGTGTGATAATTTAGGCATGCAGTTAGCACCATACTGATTGTCGGGGTAGAGGCTTCCGTTACTTTTTAACTTCCTTAGCCTTGTAGCTTGTGTGCTAACGGTAAAGAAGCAAACCTCAGACACCAAACATGTCTTTTCTAATCAGCTACATTTGGGGAAATGGAAGGGAAACAAGGGGGAGTAAAGTTTTTCGTGCAGCTGTCTGCATATTGATTATGGCATTACTTTGTCACTCAACTTTTTCTGCTCATTTTCTTTGTGATCACCACTTTGTGGTGGATGAACCACAGCAGCACATCTCAGAAAAGATTCTTTGGAGCAATTTTGGTGTAGAAAGTGCTGTACAAATAAAACTGAGTAAATTAAAACTGAGTTGAATTGTCAGTGACATAACACATTTCCTCCTGGCAAATTCAGTGTGTGTGTGTGTGTGTGTGTGTGTGTGTGTGTTTCTGTAGGTATATTTGCTTTTAAGTGTGCTCGTGCAGAAGAAATCTTCAACATGCTGCAGGACATCATGCACAACAACAGCATCAGCGTGGTGGAGGAACCTGTACTGGAGCCAGAATTACCCATAATCCCCTACAGTCCTACCAGTGAGACCACGCACACAGCCAAATGCCTTAATCTGTTACCTGAGTGAACAGTGAACAGAAATTTCAGTGTGGTGAAAAAACATTTTTATTGCATGTCATTAGGGCTGATTGATCATTGTCGTTATATCAGAATCACAGTTTGAAAAAGTGTGATTTTCAAATTGCAAGAGCTGCCATTTTTATTATATCGTACGTTATTCAGTGTTGTCTTACTTAAGTTTTAAGTGGGGAAATATAACCAAATAACACAGGGTCTGTGAACTAGCAGTCTGCTGGCATATTCAGGCCTTATGCCTGAAAAAATGGATGTGCTGGTCTTATTGAGCTTGTAGCTTAGTGTAAAGAAGATAGTTCTGTTTAAATGTCAATCGCAATATTGGTCAGAAAAATTATTATAAATGATAAATCAATTAGATATGTTCTCCTAAAAGTTCAGCCCTGTTTCTCATACAAATAAATTAGTTGTAGTTTTTATGGACACACTGTGGACCGTGGGCTTAACTGTTGAGAAATATTGTACATTTCTACTGTGTGGGCTTGCTAAAAAGTCTTACACTGGACTGTAACAGGGCAGCACAGCAATTCAGTATAGGTCCTGATTGGTTTAAAAAATCTGATTGCATGTGTTTTCCTGATTGGTCTCTTGTTCTCAGCTCCTGGTTACTCGGTGCCAGCCACTGCGAATGGGATGGGCCGTTTCCCCTCCGTTAGTGATGCCTCCTCGCGACCCTGTAGCAGGTTACCATCTGTGGAGTCCACACATCCACTGCTCATGAATGATGAAACGGTACAAACACACACAAATAAACTTTTAGAAACACACACACAAATTATGAAAAGCCAGCAGTATGTTATGACATGGTGACTAGGACAAATTACAGTCGGAGAACAAACAGTGCTGTGTTTAGGACCAGTCACAGTCAAGGGGAGGTCTCAGTACAAATGGCATGATGATTAGGTAGGAACAGTTAGAGGGAGGTCTCAGAACAAACAATGTTGTGTTTAGGACTAGTCAATGAACAAATGACGTGGAGATTAAGACCAGAACAAATGATGAGGTGATCAGGACCAGTCGCATTCAGAGACAGGTCTCAGATCAAACAGCATGGTGATTAGGACCAGTCATCAATCATTTGGCCAAAAGGATGTAATTTTGCTTTGGAACGTCTTTTTTGTTTTAAGTATACTGCCCACTATATATTTCTGACACATGAACCAATTAAATATCATGTTTTTTTCCCATTACATGACTTATTATAACAAAATCATGTTGTATATCACTCTAAGGCAGAGGTGTCAGACTAGATTCCTTCTGGGTCACAGCTCTGCAGAGATTAGCATTTTTCCTCTTCTGTTACTCTGAGTTAAACTCATGAAGTCTCTACTAATTAGTTGGTTAGTTGAATCAGGTGGGTTTAATGAGGTAGAATGCGAATCTCTGCAGAACTGTGGCCGGAAAGGAACCCTGTTTAATCCCCCTGATCTAAGATATTGTGTAATGTTTTGATATACTTGATTCACTTGTTTCCTCATCAGGTACATACATATGTCAACACACCTGGCTTGCAGGAGGAACGTCGCGGCTGCAGCAGTGGACACGCCCCTTTGGATTTCCGGCCATCCAATCCAGAAAGCCTAGGCTCCATTTCCCCTAGTGAGACGGAAACAGTGCGGCTGGTAATGGAGCCGGAGAGTGTGAAGTTTGTTTTGGGTCCGACTCCAGTGCAGAGGCAGATGATGCTGAAAGAGAAACAGCATGAGCGAGAACATTCGGAAGAACATAATGCCCTGTGTCTAACCGGCACAGAATCTGTCAGATTTGTAAATGGCTGCACAAATCCTACTATTGACCCTGACACCGGCTATGATAGCGATGAACGTAAAGAAGCGTCTCATGAACAGCAGAATGATTTAACTTTTAGGCGTCCTCGACCTTTGAACCCTGTTAATCTGATTAGCCCCGCTCCTGATTCCCACAATGCAACTGGGCAACGTCGGACTGCGCTTCTAAACTACGAAAACCTTCCAGCACTTCCGCCTGTATGGGAACTTCGCAAACCCTCCAGTAAAGGAGAGCGGGGGGCAGAGCTTAAAAGCCCCGCCCTAAATGGTTTTGACCCCGCTGACCCCCAACACAACTATGTAAACACGGAAAACGTCACGGTACCATTTAGTGCAAACAAACCTCGAGAAACTAATATTTTCAGTTTTGACCTGCGGAGGGCGCCGGCGGCCGAAGCGTGTCGCCAACTAAACTACATTGAGGTGGAGATGGAGAAAGGCTCAGACTCTAGCGGCCCTCAAACCCCCAAAACACCCACCACCCCTCTCCCCCAAACCCCCACCCACCGGACAGAGCTTTACGCCATTATAGACATCGAGAGGACAGCTGCCATGTCCAGCCTGCAGAAAGCGCAGCCGCGGGATGACGGAACGGCCAGAAAAACGAGACACAACAGCACTGACTTGCCCATGTGAACTAAAACAAACACACTAAAACACAGCCACTGCCATTTTGAATCACACACCAACACACGTAAATGCATTTGGAATTAGTAACCACTCCTGCCCCCAGAAGCATATTTGGGGCTTTGCTAGCTATGCTAATATTAAATGTTTTAAATACAAATAAGAATATTTTAGACTTTCATCAATCACACACCAATCACTGTGCATAAAGTTATAGTCACCAACCCCCTACATTCATACAAGCATACACTGCCTGCTAAAGTTTGAGAACAACTTGCTAGCTTTTCAGGGCTTTTATGCTGAGCTAGCATAAATGTTTTAATACAGCTGATTATGTTTCTTTGTCAGTTTTCCAGACAATCCCACACAATATATACATTTGGATTTTATACACACTGTGGAGGCATATGCAGCCCGCTAAAAGATGGAGGACTAAGTCAAGCTAACATTAAATATTTGAATACAACAATCTAAACATGTTTTTCATAACAGTCACTCACCGATAGCTGTGTATGCAGTTAGAACCTAGGGCTGAGTGTTGATCCCAAAAAAAATAGATTCCTTAATTCCAGGCATTTGGGAATCAAGTGTCTTCTAAAGTATTTGGACTCAATTCCACGCAGTGACGTTTAAGTTTGCCTCACATTGAGTGTCACGTATTCTGCTGTCACTCTCTAGCCTGTCTGAAAAATGCAGGCTTTCACAACTTGCGCATTGACAGTCCAGCTGTACTTTAGAAAATAAGGTGGAATATAAAAAAACAAAGTGGAAAAGTGGAAAATAAGGTACAGTTTAAAATTGGTAAAGAAAATTGGCTCACAGTTAAACATCGCCAGTGCTGAAATATCTACCCAACTGAAGGAGTTTTCGGAGGAGAATCAGGTACACCTTAGCCTGAGTAAGCTGGCGTTACCTTTCTGAAAGTCCTCGCTAAGGTATAATATAATGCATGTTGCGTGTATATAATTATAATAATTTGGAATTGACTCCATAGATTACCATCACTTTTCTGGAACAGCCCTGCACCAACCCTCTACATCCCTACCAGCACACAAGCCTGCTAAGTGTTTTCGAGACGTAGCCTAGCTTTTTAAAATGCTAAGTTAACATAACATAAAGTGTTTTAATACAACCTTAATATGTTTTGTCAGTTTTTAAAAACGTCACTAGTCACACATCGATACTTGTAAATGCATTTGAAATGATAGTCTCCACTCCTGCATACACTGCCTGCTAATTGAATGTAGACTAAGCTGGCTAATTTAGCACAAGGTGATTTGTCAGTTTTCAATAACATAATCAGTGTCATTTGTGTATACAGTCATAATTATAGTCACCACACTCTGCCCCCACAAACAACTACTGCCTGTGAAACATTTGGGGGACACTTAGCCTGGCTTTTTAAAATGCTAAGCTAACATAAAATGTTTTAATACAAATTAGTTTCTTTAAATGTTTTCAATCATATAATTACACACACAGTGGCTAGATATGCATCTGGAGTTACAGTCACCACCCCTGCCCCTTGATGCGTACACTGCCTGATGAAAGATTCAGGGCTAAGTTAGCTAAGCTAGCCTAAAAGTTTTTTTTGTTATGCAAATGAGCATGTTTTCTTTGGTAGTTTTGAATAACATAAACAGACACACACTAATAGCTGTGTACGCAGTTATAATTATAGCCACCAACTCTCTTCATCTGTGCAAGAATACACTGCCTGCTGAAACATTTTGGGACACTTAGGCTAGCTTTTCAAAATGCTTAGCTAAATTGTTGTTTAAAGGAAATAAGCATCATTTGTTACTATTTTCTTTCATATTTTTTACCTAAGTACACAAATCCATTTATTTTTTGTTATAATCACACAGATTTACGTATTGATAGTATTTTAATCCAAGTATGCAGGTAGTTACTATTTAATGCTATTAATCATTGCAGACCAACAAAGAAATCATGATAATTTGTATACAGATATTTTGTAGAGTTAGATGTCTCAAGACTTATGATGTGTAAACGTGACTATTAGAGCTAGGCCTTCAGTTTGGGCCATAAATGTCAACATGAGGGGAAAAACTCAACAACAATGCAAATTTTTTGCTAGCATCCCTATGTGACTCTACTAGTATGTTAGTGCTGAGCTAATAGCGGTTCTAATGAATGTTTTTTTTGGGTGTTCTAGATTAAACACAGACATTTGAAGCTTGTAACAGACATATTAACATATGTTTTACCTTGGAGCAGTCTGAAAAATCTGAGCACTGGCATAGAACTGCTGCTGTTTTCCATTTCTAACAACTGACTGAAATCAGAGTTCTAATAGTACTTGGCAATGCGGCCGGGCAGTTAATACCACTCATGCAAGACCAGGCTCCAATGGAGAGAGACCTATAAAACTGAAAGAAAAGCCACATTAGCATTTCAAAACATATTTGAAGTCACTGATAAAATCTGACAAAACCCAGCATAAATAGTTTGTAGCCTTTGGCTCAAATAACACAAAAAGCAGGATTTTTCAGCTTGTTCCAGCCACAACGCTTGCACAAATCTCCTCAACGAGAGGGGCTTTTCCCTCTTGCGGCTTAAACAACAAGCTGATTGGCTCATTTTATTGAAAGGCAGGACTCTCCTAACAAACCAACATATGTATATCTGCTGAACAGTCATATGCAAGGCAAGTTTGAACCCCACTTTTCAAATGACATGATTTTATTTTCTAAATTAAAATAAATTGAACCTTCTCTACAGAGAACAACATACTCTCTCTGTTGAGAGCAATATTATATGGTTCTCTATAACCTCTCTGTCTTCTCTCTATTGTTCTCTATAGCCTCTACAGAGAACAATGATTCTAAATCAACAATCAGTCCCTTTACTAAAGAACCCTTGAAGAATTTTTGTTTCAGGCAACTAAAGTTTCTCTGTGTAAAGCCAGCCTTAGGATGAGACAGACTCTTACCAAAGCTGTTCTTGTTTCGCTCTGCCTATGTGAGCCAAACACACTCACTGAGCCATCAGTGTATTTAGGGCTTTTTTTGTTTTGATTTCCTTTTTTTTATATACACACACTTTTTACACAGTTACTGATACTTCATCAGGCACTGAAAGGGCTGAAGGAATTAACCTGAACAGGTACTGACCAAATAACATTACACTGTAAAAAGATTTATTATATTTACTGCTAACTTATTAATAGAAGTTCACTAAAATCACAATTTTAAGGCAGCCAGGTTTCTGCCAGGTGCATTTTGAGTTGACCTTTTTTGTTTGTTTTTTTTTACAGTGTACAAATTCTGCTACACTTTTTTCAGTGAGAGATTATTACCAGCATTAAACACTTATGGATTTGTGGAATGAGATTGTTTATCACTTGCTTTACACTTCTGGAGTCAATTTTGTGCCAAAAGATTTAAACAAACTATAAAATAAAACCTGCACACCAAATATAAAGTATGAAAAGCTAAAGTTTATATGAAGTTTCACAATATATAACCCCATTTCCAAAAAGTCGGGATGCTGTGCAGAATGTAAATAAAAATAGAATGCTATGATACGCAAATCATGTAAAGCATATTTTTAAAGAAAAATACTACAAAGACAACAAATCAGATGTAGAAACTGAGAATTTTTGTATTGTTTTTTGAAAAGATATGCTGATTTTGAATTTGATGCCAACAACATGTTCCAAAAAAGTTGGGACGGGGGCCTGTTTACCACTGTGTTTCATCACCTCGTCTTTTAACAACACTCTGTAAGTGTTTGGGAACTGAGGAGACACTGCTGTAGTTTTGAAAGTGAAATGTTTTCCTATTCTTGTTTGATATAGGATTTCAGCTGTTCAACTGTTCGGGGGCTCATTTTTTGTCATATTTTTCATTTCATAATGCGCCAAATGTTATCAGTGGTGACAGGTCTGGACTGCAGGCAGGCCAGTTTAGCACCCGTACTCTTTTAATTTGGAGCAGAGCTGTTGTAATACATGCAGAATGTGGTTTTACATTGTCTGGCTGAAATAATCAAGACGTTGAAAAAGACGTTGCTGAATGGCAACGTATGTTATAAAACATGTATATATTGTTCAGCATTAATGGTTCCTTCACAGATGTGCACGTCACCCGTGCCATGCACACAGATGCACCCCTATACTATCACGGAAGCTGGCTTTTGAACTGTGCACTGATAACAAGCTGAGTGGTCTTTAGCCCAGAGGACACAGTGTCCATGATTTCCAAAAAGAATTTCAAATTTTGATTCGTTGGACCACAGGACACTTTTCCACTTCCCCTCAGTCCATTTTAACTGAGCTCAGGCCCGAGAGAAGAAGGCAGCATTTCTAGATCCTGTTTATATATGGTTCCTTCTTTGCGTTTTAGAGTTTTAACTTGGATTTGTGGATGCAGGGATGAACTTTTTTCATAGACAATGTTTGTCTGAAGTGTTCCAGAGCCCATACAGTGATTTCCTCTACAGAATCATGTCTGTTTTTAATGCAGTGAGGGCCCAAAGATCATGGCCAGAAAATACTGTTTTTTGGCCTTTTCCCTTGCATACAGAGATTATGATAGTACCGAAGATGATGAAAAGCAAAAAAATCTTTGCTCTGCTACATTGAGAAACATTCTTTATACCCAGTCATGTTACTGACCTGTTGCCAATCAACCACCAGGTTTTAACCATTACACAAATTTACCAGCCTTTGTTGCTCCCATCCCAACTTTTTTGGAACATGTTGTTGGCATCAAATTCAAAATGGGCATATCTTTTTCAACATTTGATATGTTGTCTTTGTACTATTTTCAATGAAATATAGGGTTTAAATGATTTCGCACGTCTTTGCATTTTGTTTTTATTTACATTTTGCACAGTGTCACAACTTTTTTGGGAATGAGGTTGTACACTGTTGCTCAAAAGTTTGGGATAGCTTGCCATCTTAATAATTGCAGTTATTTTTATTCAGTAATAACTAATGTAGTGTCAATATGAAGTACTATAAACTAAACACCAGAAGGTATTTTGAGATGTTTTATTCAATATTTAAAGTTTTTTTGTGAATCGCAAGACGTTATTAAAATGATAAATAATGAACTGTAATTTTTTATTTATAGTTATTTGATAAGTTATGAGATGATTTTTATTACTGATCTTCTCAGAAATTCATTCTTGATGTTTTACCACTTTTAGTCATTTTAGAATCTTCTACAGTTCTGTTCATGTTTCTGGACACATCTTTTATCATTTTTATTTATAGCTCCCTATTAATCAGAATTGTGGCAGTGGTGTTGGGGGTTGCCCGGTTGAAAGTCCGGGTGACTTATATATTGATGGATAATATTGTCACAGAATATTTTTGTGAGATTTACTGTAGTTTTTTTTCACAGGTAATACAAGTCAAAAACCATTTAATTTCATAACTGTGTTAATATAAAAGTGTTTAATACTTAGAAGCTGACAAAAAGACATCACAAGCCTACCTTTTCTTAGTTATTTATACAGTAATATGCAAAAGTTGGTCAAAAGTTGGTCCACATTGCATGCAATTACACATTACAATCAGTGAGGTCTCCAAATCCCCAAGTCTTACATAGTATAGCTTTAACGCCACATTTTATGTATATATGTGTAATTTAGGTAGTAAAAAACATTTTTAATCATTGACAGACAGGTTTGATGAATCTCATAAGAAGTAAAACTAAATTAAAATTCACTTTGCTTGACAAATGCAAAATTGTGGTCATAATTTGGGTGTTGAGGTCGCCTCATGTGAGAGATAATTTTTTTTTATTCATTTTGTCAAAAAAATTCATGGGACTCTCCCAAACCCTTCCAATTTAAACCTTCTTATTAACTATTTCAAATCTGTGAAGTGCTAGCAACATATTAAATCATTTTATATGTGTATCTTAAGCAAATGGAGCAAACAGAAGGGTGTTTTTCATTCTTATACGTAATATTTGGCCTGTAGGTTTCATTATTTTGTTCCAAACTTTTGGCACTAATTGAAACTCTATTCACTCACTTTGCTCAATACGGTATATTAATCACCTGCTACACTGCAGACACTTTAGCCGAGGGGTGCCCAGTCTTATCCACAATCCTCCAAACAAGCTAAAGAACACCTGACTCCACTTGTTTAATCAGTTTGTCTTAGTCTTCAAACATTTCTCAGGTGATCTCCTTCTTTGCTGGAGTGAAAACCTGCAGCCACACCAGCCGTCTGCGGATAAGATTGGACACCCCTGCTTTAGCCAAAACTACTTGTTCCTCTGATATGGCCACGGCTGATGTTCACCAGTAGAGGGCGTAGTTGAGCTTTGTCAACAGTTTGTATGTGCAGTTCCAATCAGTTTGGAGTTTTTCTTTTTCATACTGTTGCTATTTCCCATATCTTCTCATTTATTTATTTTGGAAATAAATATACTAATTTATAGGCATCACTCTTTGTGTTCAGATCAAAATGTTTAAAAACACATTCAGTCCAAAGCTCTGGCTGGTAAACTGCATGCTGTACATTCTAGGGATTAACATAGACTATGTAATCAAAACCAATGAGTGATTCTGTTTTTGCACATTTGTTATAAACATAATAAAAAATACAGAAGTATTAAATAAAGTACATTATATTAGCCAGTAATGTCACATGAATTTGAAGAGGAATTCCACCATTTTTTTCAATTTCTGTCTTACTGAGTGGTTGAGATGTAAACAAAGTCAGAGTGGTTTGGTGTGAAATGATTCACTGTAGATAGACTTACTGACTCTGATTACTTTACAGTGGTGGTGAACCAGGAGGCGTGATGTCTGCAACACAAATACAGCCATTTTATTTACCATTCAAAACTACCAGTGAACCTACATGAGTCTTCTGATTTTTTATATGTAATGTTGATGATGATAAAGTAGTGATAAAACTGAAAAAATAAGTTTTCTCTGGGGACTATTTTGTCTTAAATTGCTCTGCATGTACTCCTCCACCAACAATGTATTTTCGAATTATGTTTTAGGCCTAAATCTTTTCATCAAGCAACGTATTTGTGACCATTTCATGTTTCATTGGCTTTTAGAAGTGGGCATCTGGTTCCTGTCACCACAACTGTGAACAATTCTGTAAGTTTCTCTAGAACCGTGCATTTCACATCAAACCACTCTGAATGACTTTGTGCACATCTTAACCATTTAATGGAAAATGTTTTAAATCAGTGGACTGTAACACATAACGCAGACACTTAGTCTATTAGTTTCCTTAACTGTTCTCTGAATGATGGTGGGATTTGTTTACTGTTTCACTGACTTCACTTTTATATTGTTATAAAGTGTATTGTATGCTTTAACTTGCATTATTTGTATGTTATTTTCTACCTGTGTGTGAGCGGTACAGTAGTTTAAGAGGAATGAGGAGAAAACTGGCTTTTCTTTTTGTTTTGCCAGGTACATATCTAAAGATTTTGCAATTTATAGTTATTTGGTAGAGAAATTAAATAGCTGACATAAATGTTCCATGTTTGTCCTGCGGTTTTTGTCTTTATCCCCTTAAAGAGCCCATA